GGGGGACGCGGGCGCAGACGAGGCGACGCCGCGCCACGACTCCTCTTACGGCACCTTCGCCGGCGAGTTCTACGACCTGCGCTACCTGTCAGAAGAGGGTGAGGCTGTGGGAGGGTGAAGGGCTTCGAGAGGGGAGATCCGGCAAGAGCTGGAGTTGGGGGTGGAGGTGAGGGTGTGAGGGGAGGCATGTCTGGCGCAGCCGAGGCCGGATGGGCAGCACGCTGCTCAGATCCTCAGCAGCCTAGAGCAGGGCCCGGGGAATGCCAGCGCCTCCCCCCAACCCTGCCTCTGCTTCTCCAGAGGGCAGACTGAATCTGGGAGTGGGGGGTGGTCGCCCGGGTCCTGCGATCCCGCGGACAGGTGGTGCTGCGCTGGCTCCCGCGGTGCCCAGCGCCTCCCCTCCACTCTCCCTGCGGGGGGCGGCGGGGGGAGCAGTAGAAGAGGCCGCCGCCATCTGGCCCAGAGTGTTTGAGACCAAGGCCCTCAGAGGCTGGGGGGACTTGTGCATCACGGCTGGCTGTTACCCTTGCCGACTCCCTGCTGGCCAGAGTGTTCATTGGACCACAGCAGGTGGGAGGCAGAAACCCAGATCCTTACCCAGCTTAGAGAGAGATTCTCTCTTATTTCCCGTCCGTCTGTATTGACCAGAATTGCTAGCACCTCAGCGTTAGCGTTCTATTCCTGCTCACTACCCTGCAGCAGAGCTGGGTCATATCTTCCTTCCCATTCGTGTCCCACTTCTTTCCTGTCACTATACATATTACAGTTCCCTTTATGCGCCGCCTTTGCTGGGGCCTGCTGGGCACAGACTGGGCGTTTGTCAGCCACTGACCTCCCTGCCCTGCTGCTTCTGTGAGCACAAGTTAAGCTGATTTTGTTCAGAAGGAATGGTCCTGGACCCTTGCTTCTGCCACTTTAAAAGAAGTGCTTTTTATTTTACTCTGTTAAGAATGCTATGTCCAAGAATCAAGTTGGGATTTGAAATGTGTGTCCCAGTAATTGATATGATGCTGGATGTAGCTGTTAAGATTAGGCTCAGCTGCAGACAACAAATACTAATGAATAAGATAGAAGTTTCTCGCTTGTGTAAAGAAATCTAGAAGTAGGAAGTCCAGAACTGGTATGGAGGTTCCATGGTCATCAGGGACTTTGGGTTCTGCTCTTCTGCTTCTTAGCATGTAACTTCATGGTCCAGGATGGCTGCTGAAGCTCCAGCCATTGCATCCACATTCCAGGCAGTGGGGAAGAGGAAATGGAAAGAAGGTCATTGATTGTTTTTAAGATTACTCACAAGTCCCATATAACAATTCTGATTATATTTCATTGGCCAAAATTTAGTTATGTAGTCACGCTCAGGTGCAATGAAGGCTGGAAAATAGAGCCTTTTAGGTGAGAAGCAACGTGTCCAATTCAGAAATTGGAAATATTGTAATAAAGAAGATGGAAAGAATGGACATTGGGAAGTCTGTCAGTTGAGCAGAGGCTGCTGAAACAGTCTCAGCATACAGTAGCTTAAGTAGTTTATTTTTCTCTCACTTCATGGTGGCTGATCTGGTCTGGTGGGGCAGCTTTGTTCCACAAGGTCATTTAGGGACTCAGGTTCCTTCCATCTTATTACTCCACCGTCCCCTAAGGCTTTGTCCTCGTCTGTGTAATGGAAATTGGGTCACTTATATGTCCTTGTTCAAAGTGCAGAGAAAAGGAAACAGGATTTTCAGAGCAAGAAATTACCTTTTAGCCTAACTGCACAATGATCATGTCTGCTCACATTGCATTGGAAGAACAGGAACATGACTTAGCTGCAAGGGAGGCTGGCAAATATAGCCTTTTACTTGGACAGCCATGTGGACAGGGAGAAGTTGAGAATGGGAGTTGAAAGATGGCAAGGGAGAGACGAGAAATAGGATCAGAATTCATCCCTCTGGGAAAGAGTAAGTATACCAAAGCCCATCACATTGCCAGCTGATCACATATGGCATGGGAGATTTTTCTGATGGGTATATAGATTTAAGAATGAAGTACAAAGAATGAAGAATGAAGAATTAAGGTCAGATTCTATATATTAATTTGTATATTCAGAAAGGATTAAGTGCTGATTGTATAGTCCAGACAGTTTTACAAACGTGGCATCAGGGTGAGCTGTAACCATCAAGGAAGGTTTTAGAGAGCCCAGCTGGGACATATGGAAGAACTAGAAGGGAGGGACCATTTCAGGTGAGGTGACTGAACAGGGGCAGCAGGACATGCCATGTTTGCACAAAAATCCCTGTTTTATCTGCTTGCCACCTCTAGCCTTTTTGCACATACAATCAGCCTAACCTTCCTGAGACCTGGCTCTGACCCTGTTACTATTGCACTAGACAATCTGTGATGGTTCCAAGCTGCCCCCCGGATGAAGGTTCAGCTCGTTTTTCTGGAATTTTCTCTCTGGCTCAGCTTCCCTTTACAACCATCTCTTACTCCTCCCCTCAACTCGGAGGTTTAACTGTCTGTTTATCTCCTGCTCTTTTGACAGTTTTGCTTCCTTGACAGATGCAGATCCTGCTACCCTCTGGTGGGCACTGGTGGGGTTTTTGTGGGGTGGGCCTCTCAGGAGCAGTACTCTGTTAGATTACCTTGGGCCTGGGTTTTAGCCCTGTGGGTTCTGAATAGACACTTTATACATCTAATTTATGTCCTTCATGAATCTAGCCTCATAATAACAATAATAGGAGCAAACTTTTAATAAGGACTTACTATGTGCCAAGGCTTAGTAAGTACCTAATCCAATCTGTATTAATTCTTTAATCCTTATAACAACCCTATGAGTTAGGTACTGCTATTACGCCACCAAACCAAAACCAAACCAAACTCACTGCCGTCAAGTTGATTTTGACTCATAGCAACCCCTCCTTGGATTTCTGAGGCAGTATCACTACATAAGTAGATTGTCCCATCTTCCTTGCAAGGTATGGCTGGTGGGTTTGAACCTCTAGCCTTCTGGTTAGCAGTCAAATGACTTAGGCGCTATGCCACCAGACCTCCTATTACGCCACCAGAGCTCCCTATTATCCTTACTTTAGAAATAAGGAAACTGACCTAGAGAAAAATGTCTTAGCTAAAGTCAAACAGCTGCAAGGTAGCAGAGAACTGTATGGGTTTGTTGATTGACTTTATGGATAACGTGATGCAAGGTGTCAATAGACATGCATTGGGAAATGTAGTTGGACAGGCAGAGTTGTGTGTTTTTATAAGTGGATTTGAAGGTTTTCGGCTTGATTCAGGAGGCAGTTGGACCAACTGTGGGTTCCTAGGCAGTGGAGTGCCACAACGAGAGCTGTGCTAAACAAGAATTCACTGTGTGTAGAGCTTGACACTTTACAGAGTGTCCTGACGTATTTACTTCATTATACTCCTCTGATAGGTAGAAGCAAGTTATCAGGCCATCTGGAAAGAGAAGGAGGCTGCTGATGGCTCGTCATATCTCAGAGATTTGAACCAAATGGTGTGACCACATTATTTCTGGTTAAAATTTCAAGGAATCAAGTACTAAATTAATACCTCAAGGCTGTGATCCAAGGAATTCCTCAGAAGCAGTAAACAGCAAATAAAAAGCCATTAACCACCCAGTGGAGTATGGCAAAACAGACTCAGGGGATTGCAAAAACGGAACAGATAATTTTTATGACTTAGACAATAATGGAACCACAAAACTACAATGAGAACCTGAAAAATCAGTCAAGAAAAAAGAGATAATCGACAAGACGTGCAGGGGAGAGAAAAAATGGTTCTAATCATTCTCCAAAACAGAATAGTGATTGAAAGAGTTCATAGAGCATGGGAGGGAAGGAAAGAGAAGACTTCATCCAGTTGGAAAGCCTGTGGAAATCGTACCCTCTCAAACCAGTTATTATTGAGTCAGTACAGACTTTCATTTTATGGGGAAAGAAAGCATCAAAATAAAAGGTAGAGAGAAAGGAATAAACCAAAAAATAAGTCATGAAAACTAGGAGAGCAGACCAAGCTAAAGGGGGAGGGAGAAGCTGGCTGTGTCCTGGTGGTTCAGTCCACGTAGCTCACAACTAAGGAGGACAAGTAAGTGGAGGGGAGGTAGAGTGCGGTGGGTGGGGAAAGGTCTGTAAGCCATGGAGTGAAAAGTTCAGGTTCTGTTCACAAAGATGGCGTGTCGAGGAGGGGGTCGAAGGGGAGCTGGGGCAGGATGGACGCCTGTACAGTAGTGAGGAGCTGTCTGAGGGAGGAGCAACAGGATATGATGACTAAGTGAGTGTACCAGGTGGGGTAGAAGGAACAATCTGGGACTGAGAGTTGGTACTGGGAGACTGTGGGTAGTGGGAGTGTTCACTTGCTCCCTAAGAAAACATGGAAGGAGGATCCTTTGGGGGGTGGGAGACCTTAGTACTCTAAAGGAATTGATTTGCTGGTAGAATATGTGGATAAAATCCCCTGGGGGCAGCTGGCTGTTGGGCTTCAATGCTGATATAAAAAAAGAAGAAATGATGAATTTATGAAGTTAGAAAAAGAAGACAATAGATCTAAAGAAAGTAGAAGGAAACAAATAATAAAGTAAAATATAGCAGAAATTAATGAAATAGGAGCCAAGTGTTCAATAAAGAAAATCAACAAAGGCAAAATTGATTCTTTGCAAATATTAATAAACTGGATAAATTTCTGGCAAGTTTGGTCAGGAGAAAGAAAGAGAAGACACAAATAATATTAGGAATAAAAAAAGAAAATAACCTTAAACATAAGAGGTAAATGAACTAGTAAGTTACAACTCAGCAATAAAAATGCAGATAATTTTGGGGTGGTTTATCCTACCCTTAATGAACAGAATGACAATAAGGCTAAATAATTACATTACTGATGATAATAATAATAATTGATAATATTTATTGACTCCTTATGTTTTCCACTGAAAAATTGCTTGATTGTACTTTGCATTTAATTTATTTAACCATCCTAAAAAAAAAAAAAAATTATTATCCCCTCTGCAACTCAGAGATTAAGTAACTTGCCCAAAGTCACATAACCCACTGCCATCGAGTCGATTCTGACTCATAGTGACCCTGTAGGACAGAGTAGGACTGCTCCACAGGGT